CCCTCCCCAGCCCACCTCCGGCTGTGGCCGGCTCCCTGGGCCTCTCCTCTCCCACCAGGAGGTGTCGGGGGCAGAAAGACCCCCTCAAGGCTGGGTCACTCTGTGCTGGGCTTTGCCTGACCTCACTCTAACTAGATTGTGACCCATCCAGCCGTGCCCAGTTAGATTTCTATCGTCACTTCCCCGTTCCAAGTACCCTACACTTTGCAGCTTTAAAAAAATTTTTATTTTTTTGTTTTTTGGGTTTTTTTTAAACCTCTTCCTGCATTAGATATTCCTGGGAAATACTCAGGGCCGGAATAACTGTCCCTATTTGCCAGACAGATAGGCAACTACACTGAGGCCCAGGAGGTGCTCGGAGACCACTCAGATGAGAAATGATGGAGTTTTTATTCTCATGACTGCTGGACAAGAACTGGGGCAAGGAATGAGTCCTGATTTTCCAGATGGCAACACCAATCATTGGAGGCAGGAATTATAGCACCTGCATTTGAAGGCCTTCTAGGCCCCAGGAATCTCCCTCATTTAGTCTTCAGAGATAGGGATAATCACACCCATTTTTCAGATGAGAAAACTGAGGTTCAGAGAACTCAAGTCAAGAATTTAAGGTCATAGGTCCAGGGACTTAGCTTAGTGGTGCTGCCACCTACCTTGTAAGCAAAAGGTCCCGAGTTCAATCTCAGAGAGAGAGAGAGAGAGAGAGAGAGAGTGGAAGGAAGGAAGAATTTAAGGTCTAGAAGCCGGATTTGAATCATGCGAAGGCTGGTCTTAGGGCCCAAATTCTTTTTTGGGGGGCGGGGTTACTGGGGCTCGAACTCTGGACCTTGTGCTTGTGAGGCAGGTGGCAGCACCACTGAGCTAAATCCTTGGCCCTCTAGGGCCCAAATTCTTAATCACCACCCTCTACTGCCTCAAGAAAAATGAGAAAAAAGTCCTTAGCACCATGCCTGGCCATAGGAGGCACTCAGGAAATGGTAGTCCCGCCCACAAAAGGGGAAATTAAGGCCCAAGGAGAAGTCACCCAGCCACGTGAGGTGGACTGGCCAGTGGGACCCTTGGGTACTTAAGTCAGCTGGCCCAACCTGCCCGCCCTGTACCACCCTACCCCTTTCTGGGCTGGACTCACCGTTGTTCAGCACATCCTTGGTAACCCTGAGGACCGTGGTTGTCTCTTGGTGGGTGCCGCACACAGCTACCATGCACAGAGCAGCCACACGCCATGCTGTCCACATGCTGGTGCTGCTTCCCTGCTGAGGAGACAGAGCACTGCATGGCCATGGCTGGGTGTGGCCACCTCAGCAGCAGAACTAAGGACCCTTGGCCAAGAATCATATCAGAACCTGGAGACAGCCAGACACCTGTAATCTCAGCTACTCAGGAGGCTGAGGCAGGAGATTGCAAGTTGGAGATCAACCCAACCTATATAACCAGACCTTGTTTCAAAATAAAATTTGAAACGGGCTAGGGATGTGGCTTAGTGGTGGAGCAATTGCCCGCATGCACAGGCCCCTGAGCTGAACTCCAGTCCAGGGGAGTTGGGGTTGTGGAGGCTGTGGTTCTGAGACCACCTTTTGAACTTTTCAGACTGATATGAATCTGGTGACACAATACAGCCCCATTAACCAAAATGTCCCATAGCATGGGTGCCTGATCATCTCCTGAGATGAAATCTATAAAATGGGCCACCAGCAGAGGAAACAGGAGGGCCAACAAAACGGCAAAGTGAGAGCGAGAGGGCTCTGGGAAATCCCCCAGCATCCACCCATCCACCCTCCATCCTTACCCACCCCCCGTGTGCTCCTTTACTCATTCTGCCCTCCCATCCAGCCCCATCCATCATCCTAGCAGCCACACAGCCAGCTGTCTGTCCATCCACTCACACACTCATCGGGGCGATCTTCCAAACCTCCAGCCAGCTGGGAGGAATCTGTTTGGTACTGAGGTTCAGATCGGGGGCCCTGGATCTGTGCTGATTGGGCTCTACTCAGAGACTGGACCTTTTTGAACAAACCTGATCGCGAACACGCTGCGTCCACATGTAGACGCTCAGTAAACTGCGACATAGTTATTGGTTGGGGCCTAACATTTCAGACCCTTGAGAAGTGCAGATTGGAGGGGTGAAGCATGTGTTCTGGGGAGAGCAGCTAGCTTCCCGGGAAGGCCTGCTGCCCCGACACCTGTACCCACTTGTCCCACTCCATCTTTACAAACTCTTCATTTGCCATCCTCGGGGATCAGCACAGGACAACCCACCTGGGCCAAAGTGAAATTGTTGGCTTCGTTTCCTTCTGTTTATGCATCTTATTCCACCTTCTCTCGAATTTCTCAAAGCTCCCAAGCTCCCTAATCTCATCTGTTCCCAGTGGAGGTTTTAAGCCACTCATTTATACTAGAATATGAAGGACTAATTCTGTTCAAGAATTTGTTTTCTGGCTTTCTCACCTCATCCCAAACCTACCGCCTAGAGAACTCTGTGTTTATGAGACAAGGATCACCCGCTTCAGTTACAAAGGCAGGCACCAGAGGCAGGATTTCCCACATCAGCAAGCACTGGAGAAGTGGCAGGGAGGACACAAAGATTAAAACTGGTCAAGATCCCTGGAAAACACACAAAGCCCTGCTGGCACAGGTAATTGGCTTGGCCTTTCTGTGGGTCCCTTTGAGGTTGTCCTGGCAAGGCCTGTGTGACAGGCAAGACGTCTGAGCTCAGAGAGCTTGCCCTGGTGGCTCTCCAGTTGGGCTGTCTCCTCAGTAGGCCTTAGTGTCCCCTGCTGGCCTGGACACAGAACAGGGAGGGGCTGTTCCTTACCCCCAGCAGGTCCCAGCAGCTCAGTCCCAAGAGGTCCCGCTCACCAGGCCCTCTGCTTTGAGCTCAGCCTGGTCACAATCAGCCTTATATAGCAGATGCAGTCTGAGCCCAGACCCCAAGAGGAAAAGGCCATATAATTATGAGAGATCAGAATTAACAGAAACCGGAATTCAGATTTGTTCTGCAAATCAAGCACCGAACTCCAAAACCACAAATTTGTGGTTTGCAGCTAATTCCGAGAGGCGTGCTCAGCCCGGATGGTGTCACAAGAGCTGGGCATATCAGCCCCAGTCTGGACGCGTTCCTGGAGACCCCTGCTGAGCCCCCACATGGATGCCTAAGGGCTTCAGCCCCAAGGCAGGCACTGCCCATGCAAGAGGGCCTGAGGGGCAGACTGGACCTGCGGGGACCAGACTCAGCATCAGAGGACCTGGGTTCAAATCCTGATCAATCCCCAACTTATTGTGACCTTGAGCCAGCTACTTCCCTTGCCTGAGCCTCATTATTTCCATGTGTGACATGGGTATAATACCTGCCTCACAGGGTGATTTGAGACGGATGGACAGGAGACAGATATGGATCCAACGCCTCCAACCTGGGGCCATTGCACAGCTGGGGTTTGGTTTTTTTTTTTTCAGCTTTAATTGAGTTTATTGGTACATTTTAGGGATACAGTACAGTTACATTCATCGTTGGGATCTTGTACCTCTACATGACAAGACTTGATTCTCATTTTCAGCTGGGGTTTTTAAGATGTGTCCATAGTAAAATTTTCACACATGCAGCAAAGCTGAACACACATATACTTGTCGGTTGACCCCTGTCAGCTACATGGATCCCTTGCATCCTGCTGCATTTGCTCGGCCGCGTATTTATCCATGCACTCACTGGATGAGTGGGTGCTGCCACACCGTGATGAGTCCCAAGGCTGCCCAGAGCAGTGGTGAGAGCGGCCGGCATCGCGGAGCACCTGCTGTGTCCCAGACGCAGCTTCCCCCAGGCACTTAGCTTCACGGAGCCCTGACGGCTGGGTGTTACCATCTGATTCCACGCAGGAGGCCACCAATGCCCCGAGAAATGGAATCTGACAGCTCGTGAGTGGCAGAGCCAGAATGCAGGCCTCACAGCCAAGCCCAGGCCTCTCACTGAGGTGTCTGAGAGCCATCCTGGCCACAGCTGCCGAGTGCTCACATGGGCCAGACTCCGCTCCACAGAATTAGCTCTGCTTTTAGACAGTTTTTTACCTGCAGTATATAGAGAAGGAAACTGAGGCACAGAGAGGTTATACCATGTGCCCAAGGCCAGGCATCTGGGTAGTGACAAAGTCAGCATCTGGACCCCACCGCCCTAACACCCAGCTCTGAACCTCTGCCCTTAGGGTGGGGATGACACAAGGTGAGAAGGGCGCCCCATGGACCCCTGGGGCAGCCCGAGTGAGCTGACGGTGCTTGAGGGGGACAGGCCGAGTGAAGGGTCTGTGGGGGTTCTGGGTGTGTTTTCTGACCTCAGCAGCGCTTGTATGACCACCAACAGGGAAATACTTGACCCCCTATGTGGCTCAGTCCCCTTCCGGGAAATCTGGTTGTCCTTTCTGCCATCCCCACCAGGTCTCTCTAGCTCCAGACAAAGGGGCCTTTGGAGTCTAAGCCCAAGTGAGCTCCTTGGCGCCACACTTTGCTAATCCTCAGGGTGGCCAGGGCAGGCCCCTCCAGGGCTGGGCAGCCTTGCCCAGCCTTGCCTCCCGGGTGCTGGCTCCTTTCCTCCTACCCACCCTTCAAAATTCAGCTCAGATGTCCCTTCAGAGAAATGTCCCAAAGTCAGAGACGGAGAGAAGCACAGAGGGACAGATAGAGAGAAAAAAGAGGGACGAGAAGGGAAGGGGAGCAGAGAAGTGCCGGGGAGGGAAAAGGAGGGGATAAGAAGACAGGAGGGTGGAGAGGCAAAGCAGAGGAGAGAAGAGGACGGAGAAGAAGAGGGGAGGAGAGGGGAGGCCACCCAGGGAAGTCTTGGACTCCAAGCTGCAGTGACCAGGCCCCAAGTCCCCTCACCTCCTAGGAGCTCCTGCTTGGAGCTGGGAGGGCACTGGAGGCTGAAGCTGAGGTGCCCCCTTGTGTGACCCAGAAACAGATCAGTCAGCAGGTTCAGTTCTAAGGCCAAGAAATAGTTTATTGAGACCTGGGACTTTTGCAGAGGCCTGGAGAGCTGTGAGCAGACCCACGGGGGCTCCACAATCCCCACCCGGATGGGGGCAGAGGTGCAGGGCACTGAGCAAGGTGGGCCCGGGTGGGTAGGAGGCATTGTACTGTCACCGACACAGGCTAGCAACTGGGAAGGAAGCTGAGGCAGTGTGCAGATAGCCAGGACTCTGGTAGGCAACAGGGAGCGAAGGCAGCCACGGGGGCCTCAGGATGCCACGGTGAGCACAACGGCGTTCTGCAAGGAGCGATAGTCCTCAGTGAGCCTGAGAGCTCAGGCCCCAAACCCAGCCACATCCCCACACCTGGGCCACCTGCATCATCCACCACTCCACCCCGCAGCTAGCACTGCACCTGGAACACAGCAGGTGCTCAGTGAACGAGTGTGTGGACAAATGGGTAAATGATAATTGAATTATATCCCGTGTGGGACAGGGTGCTGACTTGAGAGTTAAGTTCAAGTGCCATTTCTTTTTTTTTTTTTTTTTTTTGGTACTGGGGATTGAACTCGGGTCCTTGCGCTTGCAAGGCAGACCACCGAACTGCTGAGCTAAATCCCTGGCCCTTCAAGTGCCACTTCTGCCAATAATGCACTGTGTGACCTTGGGCTAAAAAGTGGGCCTCCCCAACCTTGGTCCTCATCTGAATAATGGGTGCATTATTCCTGCTCTGACCACCTTCCTGAGCTGCTCCAAGGCTCGAAATTGGATGGTTTGAACAGGATTGTTGGTAGTTGGCAAAAAACAACAACAAAAAAAGAGTCGTGATCTATCAGCCACCACTCCTGCCACTTTACAGGTGTTTGCTACCTATGGGCCTGGGGAACTCCAACTCTGTGAGTACATGTGAAGTTCCATTCTACGGGCCAGACGGGTCTGGATTTAACCGGCAAGGATTCTGTGATCAACTGACAATGTCTACCAGGGGCGGGGCAGGAAGGAGTGGGAGCATGCGTGCCACAGAGTTGCCATTCCCGAGTTGAGCCATCTGTAATTCTTTTAGGAAACAGTACAGGCACAGAAAAGAAGATGAAGCAGAGCATCTCCTCGTGAGAGCTAAGTAGGGCTCCAGACACAACCCTGAGACCCATCTAAGCCACAGCTGCATGGGAATCTCACCTCGATGATGTCCAGATTTGAATTGGCAAAATTGACATTGAGAATCTTAGGCAGGGGAATTCCAACCTCCAGGTCCACTGTGACAGGAAATGATAAAAAAACAAAGATATGTGAAAGTTAGGGGTGTCAGACCCTAGGGATCCTTGAACCATGCTGACTCTACTTAACTGCTTTATTTGAGGCAGGCATTTCTCTCCTTGGGGATTTGGCTTCCTACTGGAAAACTACTATTCATCTTACTACATCCAAACAAAAAAGTCCCGTTTCTGTACTTTACCAATGGTCCCCCTCAGCAAAGCCTCCTGGAGCTCCATCAATCCCTTGCATACTCTGTTCCATCTACATCCTAACCATTTGTTCATAGGGTGTTTCGCACTGAATTGTGGGGGCTCAAGGTCAGATATGCCTCTTGGGCCTTAAATCCTGGCATGGTGTAGGTGCTAATCAATGTTGTTGGATGGAAACATTGGCACCTCGGTTCCTGAATCTTACAAATGGGACCCTTAGAATGTTCTCAATCCTCCTCTTGCCTCAGTGTTCCTATCAGAGCAATGGAGAGAGGCAACAGGCTAGACAGTCCCGAGTTCAGACACCTCCTGTGTCCAATAAGAAAGCAGAGGCCAACATACCATTAAGCTTTGGCACATATGCAGCCCGGAGTACATCGCTGAGCCATTCTTCCAAATGGGATGCCTGTAACAGAGCCCATGGTTGTGGGGAAGTTTGACCCCATAGGGACAGCACCCCTCTTCCCAGGGAAGGAGTCCAGAGGGCTAGCTGGGTCTCCTCCAAACCCGAGGACACAGTCCCTAGCAGGCACAGAGCCCACATGGATGGGCTGCCCACCAGAGACCCTTAAGAACACTCTGATTTAGGGTGGCTTCACACTCAGCCCAAGTGTTCAGAAAAGGCACCCTCCCAAAAGTCTATGGGGCAAGGGGAGCAGGGCAGTGCCTGATAAAGAAGAAAGGAAGTTTTCCCAGCTCCAAGAGAACACTGAAGTCTTAGGTCTCTGTCAGCATAGAGACCCTTAGAATGTTCTAGAACAATGATGGTGAACCTTTTAGAAACTTAGTGCCAAACTGCAACCCAAAACTCACCCGTTTATTGTAAAGTGCCAAAGCTGGAATTAAACCTGAATACTGAAGTTTTAGTCTAGAGAACACAACTCTACAGTAACATCTTTTGTTTTACAAGAAAAACAATAACAAGCATGACATAGGTTTACCACCACTGTTCTAGAACCTGAGCCCATTAAGAGACTCCAAGACCTCAGACTCTGTGAAGAAGGAACCTCAGGGTTCTGAGGGACTCTTAAATGTTAGAACTTTCTGAGGTAAGGAATTTTATTTCTTGTGTGAAGTTCCAGAACTTTGTGGGGTTCTAGATGTCAAAACTTTGTGAGAACCCAAGGCTTTGGAAGATCATGATTTTCACTCTTCTGAGATGATGGCTGTTACACATACATGCACGCGCATGCACACACACACACACACACCTGCCCCAATGCTTGCCTGATGTGCTTCACTGGGACAGAGCCCAGACCGAGGCCAGCTCAGCCATTGCCCATGACCCATCCCCACTCCTTTCTTGCCCCATCTGAAGACCCTCCCAAGTGCCAAGCTTCTCCCCTACTCAGAAACTTACATCAAAGGTGTGTGCTGAGGAGGCCAGCTTGCCACTGAGCCTGGCAGAGAGAAGACAGAGTGAGGGCCCAGCCCCCACTGTACCCCCGGCTGAGAGCTGTCCTGCCCACCCCAGCCACAGCTCTGCAGGATGAGGACACAGGGGATGCTGACTCAGCCCTGACTCCAAGCAGCTGGACTCAACACTCAGTTTTCCTACCTGTAAAGTAGACCAGGAGGGCTCTAACCTTCTGAGAATCATGACCACCACTGACTCTGTGGAGGTGGATCCTTGGTCTGAGCCTAGCTGATTGACCCTTTGTCCTTAAACCGATCACTCGACACAGAATACCCTGCATACAGCAGGCACTCACTAAAGTCAGTAACCCAGAGATTCATCACAGCTGGCCAGTCCAAAGGCAGGATTGGGAGTAGATCCTATACCCACAGCCTTAGGTCCTCAAGGACCCCGGCACGAACTGCCACTGGGAGGCAGCAGTGAGCCCAGGCCAGACCGGCCCTGGTCAAAGTTGTCTAGAGGCAGTGGACCCATCCTATGCAGGGATGCAGCGGCCCAAGGGGACACTGAAAGTGGATCAAGTGAGCACTGAGTGCCTATGGCTCAGGATAAGCAGGTCTCAGATCGCCTGAGAAAGCCTCTGCAACTGAGGCTGGGAAGACAGGCCCCTCCTTGGCAGGGATGTAGACCACAGACCTGCTTCCTTTGTGAGCCTGGGCCTTACGGCACTTTGCAAACTGTAAAGTGCTGTGCATGTATAAGGAAGGAGGGTCACTGGCAGCATCGTCTTGCTGCTGTGATTATCATGCGGTCTGGTTACCACAGGGGTGGAACATTGGAGGAATCACAAGTCTGAGTGAGGAACAAAAAGTATCTGCAACACTCCAGGAGAGCCATGCGCCGAGTCAGTCCCTGGAGCCAGGCAGGCTGGTCCCCAGGAGAGGCTGTGAGTAGGTCCGGGTCGTGGGGGAAGCCGCAGCTGCAAAGTGGCCAATACCGTCCCTCCCTGAAGGGACCTGACAACCAGGTAGACACTGGTGAGACACCTGGGTTAGTGGATGATGCTTCAGCAGCAGCAGGTAGTTCCTGTTTTAGGTGGCCCCTAATTCTGTTCCTGGGGACAGGAACAAGATCCTGTTTCCAGGAGCCCACATTACCGTTCCAGGGACAGGGAGAGGTGCAGCTTGGTGGCCGAGGGAGCCAGCTGGGCATTTAAAGTCAGCACCTGTGTGGGAAGTGGGAGCAGAAGTCACCCTGGATTCCTCAGAGATGGGGACAGTCTGCCTGAGCCAGCAGCGGGTCTCTGCGCCTTGCCCTCCACCAGCTCTGTGAGGCCCTACTGTGTGTCACAGGTGTGCACTGGGCAGAGCACTGGGGCTGAGCCGAGGGAGGGCAGAGTCAGAGCTCCAGTTGGTGACCCACAGGGATGGGACTGAGGAGACAGAAGGTAGGGTCGAGGCAGGTGCCAGCCATGGGAGCCAGGCCAGAGAGGGGGAGAGGGAGCTTCTCTGGTCAGATGTACACTAGAGACCACTTGTGGTGGTGGGTGGCAGGGAGTGGCCTGGAGATGGGAGCCCCATTTGGAGTTGCAGAGCTGTTCACAAGATAGCTGTGCAGAGGTCTTCGGAGGCCCACAGGAAGCAGAGTGACAGCCCCAGACCCCATCAGAGGGGTGCCAAGGAGTGGGCAGGAGCTCAGGTGGGTGCTAGGGGCTCAGCTTCAGGCGGAGCTTTCTGGGCTGAGCTGCACGGGGCCCACCCCAAAATCGGGCAGGTACCCACTGGGGCCCCACCCAGAACGCAGCTCTGGCCACTCACCTCGTTCAGCTGGAAGAGGGCTACAGGGGTCCCCTGCAGGACAGAAGACAGCACATGGACGGTAGCCGGGATGGAGACCGTGGCCTTCTTTTTCTGCAGCAAGACCGTGGGTGCTTCCTTCACCCTCAGTGAGAGTAGGAGATGCTGGCCTGGAGGTAACTTCCCCAGGGCCTAGGGAGAGGCAGGAGCACAGCAGGTCATTTGAGGCTGCTTCACTGACCCGGCATTAGAGTTGGTCAGTCAGTCAGTCAGTCAACAAACACTTCTTGAGCATCTTGTGGGTATCAGACACTGTGTCAAGCACTGAGCTTACAGCCCGACCCAGACAGGCCTGGTCTCTGCCCTTCAAGGCTGATATTCAGCCCACTAAAAGGTGGAGGCACCAAATCAGACTCCCCGTGTCACACAGAAACAACATTCTCCCCAGGTGCACAGGTCCCATGGGGTGCACCCCCCTCACACTCCCTCTCCCGCTAACCTGTCGGCTTCACCCCACCCACCTCAGAGCCTCTCTGCCTGCTGGTCCCTCTGCACCATGCACCCTACCCCACTGCACCGCTCCATGCCCTCCACCTCCGACACCGACCAGTTCATAATCTGCTTATTTATTGGTCCTCCAGGACAGCAGCTCCTGAGCTCAGGGGCTTTGCCCCTACTTTGCATGTTTGCCTATTCTGTATCCTCAGGGGCAGGTACCTCCGAACCAGTACAGGGCCTAGGGGGTAGCAAGTACCCACTGTGTGCTTGTTGACTGACTAAGTGACTCACATAATCAGGAAGTTCTGAGTCTCATAACCACCACATCACGGACTTCTAGAAGCGATGGAAATCATTCAGGCACAGAAGCTTAACACAGAAGCCTGGCCTCAGCACACTTGTACAATCTGGAGACCCGATTCCAGACACCCCAAGCTGCAGGCTCATCAAGACAGGGAATCACTAGATTCCACCTCGTGGGGACACAGAAACTGAAGCCAAGACCAGACTCACACTGGGGCCACATGAGCGGGCTCTGTGGGCTCTTCTCAGTTGGCTCTGAGGCTGACAAAGGTGTCGGTTAGGCTCCAGGGACAGGGCCAGCTCCCCAAGCTGGAGAGAACCAGCCCAGCTGGCTGCACCCTCAGTGCAGTCCCAGCCCCTCTCCACCACCTCACAACTCCTGCCCTCGGAGAGCTCTTCTGGATGTCTGCTCCCAGGAGACTCCTCTGCCTTTTAGCCAAGAAGACTCAGAAGAGGAAGCCCCAGCCTTGCTCCGCAGGACTGATTCGAATCATCCGCGTCCAAGGACTCACAGAGCTTGTCCTCTGCGCCCCCAAACTCGGCTGCCACCTGTACCCGCTCAGTGAATGCCCACCCTCTCTGGGCCCCTCCCGGCCTCTGTCACAATCTGCAGTTACCTAAAGCCCTCCTAGTAGTCATTTTCCCTTCAGTATAAATTCAGATTCTCACAGCCAGGGTCCCCCGGTGGCCGCCTGTCCAGCGTCAGATGAGTGCACAGGAAAGTGGGGACTGGGTCCCCAGACCTCACATTAATGGCCACTCATCTGGTCTCCTGACTCTCCGCCCTTTCTTCCCCTCTCCACAACCAGTGCCTGAGTCAGCTCTCAGGGCAGGAGAGACAAGATCACAAGGAAGTGAGGTAGCGGCAGGGAGGGGCTCAGCAGCATGGAAAGGATCCCCTGTGCCCCACATGCTGGAGCAGATGGCCCAGGGCAAATGGCTTCTGGGGAGCCAAACCTGGTCCTTCCCCTCCTTCTAAGTAAACTCATTGTCAGGAAAGGACACCGTGTCATTCTTTCACACTTTAGTGTGAATGTGGATCGCAGTCGCCTGGAGAGCAGAATGGAGAAATATGCTGGAGTCCTCGCAGGGAAAGAGCTACCGTGTCAAAGCCCACGAGAAGGCCACTCACCTCCGGGACCAAAGCTGCCAGGCCTGAGGTTGTCATCGGAATGTTGCTGGGAACCTAAACCCAGGATCCCACAGGAGAGGGGTCGGTGAACACAAAGGACACACAGAGCAGTGCTGTCCATCCTTCCCACGCCCTCCGGTCAGACACCCACTGCTGCAGACCCTCAAGTCTGTTCTCTTCATTTTTATGTTACCAGTGACTTAACCCAGGACCTTCACACTGAGCTGCATCTCCTGCCCTTTTTTTATTTTTCCTTGCTAAATTGCCCAGGCTGAGTTGAAACTCTCAATCCTCCTGCCTCAGCCTCCTGCCTCAGCCTCCTGAGTGCTGGGATTAAGGGTGAATGCGACCACACCCAGCTACCTCTTGAGAAAGTAGAGGAACTGTTAACCATTCACACTTTAGTGTAAAAATGAGCTCAGACTCAAGACTCATCTGGTGCAAGGAGGAGACATTGGCTTCATTTCCTTGCCAGTTCTGCTCAGAGGAAAGTTGGGAGCGCTTCCTGGGTGGCTGGGTTGAGAAGCATTCAGAGGCCTCACTCAGGTTTAATTAAGTACAAGGCCACTAAGGATTGGCGATGCTCTCCCCGAGTACCGGGATGGGCAGCAGCAGTGTCAGCGCCGACCTGTGATGGTATGACAGGTTGGCACTGACACTGCCCAGGCATGGTAAGGGCAGAAGAGCCCACCAGCACCTCTTCCCATGCCACTCACCAGCTCGGAGGTGATGTCTGTGTCCAGGGCACCATTTGTCTGCAAGACTCCGAACACTGTGTTGAAGAGGTACAGCGGCACAGTCACCTGGGATGTGTGGTCCTCCTTGGGGGGCACCTTGATCGGGACGTGGGGCTTGGGAAAATCAATGATGTCGCCGGCTACACTCTTCACAATGGGCTGCAGGGGCAGGAGATAGGGCGCAGGGTATCGGCTGTTCACCCATGGTGAGACCCCACCTTTGCTTTCCTGGACACCCACGCTGCCCCTCTGCAGAAGGGCAGCCTCCTCAGGTGCACTCACGTTGATGTCCAGCTCTATGTACTGGTTGGAGATGAGGGGCAGGGTGGCCAGAGTGAATTCCACAGCCCCCAGACCACCGAGGGGCACAAGGCCTGTGCAGGAAAGGGGGAACAGAACGACTCCATGAGCCAGAACGCGAGAGGAGCAGCCCATACCAGCATTACTGAGTGTCTGCTGCCTCCCACGCAACTCTGTCTTCACTTGGTGCTGCCATCACCCTCAGGGGAGGAAACTAAGGCTCCGAAGAGGAAGTCACCAGGCCACACAGTCACTAAGTGGCAAAGCAACATTCCTGGTTTCCAGAGCTGGTGCCACCGACCCTTGGCTACCCTGCCTCTCTTATCAGCACCCCTGGAAGGGACACCAGTTTCTCAGGGCTCCATCCTTCCCCTGGCTGTGCCTTGGTGCCCTTTCCAAAGCCCTTTTGTGGACTAAGGACACCACATTTCCAAGAAGTGCAGAGACAGAGGCCCATGGCTGTGGGCTGGGGGTGTCGGGGAGCTTACTCAAGCTCTCTGGGCCTCTGTCTTCTCACCTGCCCTGGAAATAACATTTTCTTCCTGCCCTGATCACGAGCATTCTGTAAATACCAGTTTTCAGGGGCCCCATATGGAGACCTCCTCCCAGAACCTCCCCAAAGCCTCCAGGCTCCATCAGGGCCCACCCCACTGCAGTACCAGGAGAAGGAGGCAAGAGGAGGGTGGGGCCCCAACTTACAAAGTGTGGCCCCCAGGAGCTCATTTATCACATCCAGAACACTGTCAACCACGGGGCACAGCTGTGCAGGGAGGAGACAGATGTTACAGGAAACCTAAAGGTGAACCCTACTCGGTACAGAGCCAGCTGTGTGTTCTCTAAATGGTCTGAATCTCTGGTGCTAGAGACCGGGGCAAAGCTGGATGTGGAGACAGCTGGGACACACAGGCGGGGGACACGGAGGGGCTGAGTGAGCCCCCAAGTCCACTTCCCTCTATTACATAAGCCCCAGCAGAAACCCCCAAAAGTTGCTGGGGAAACAGGGAGAGAAGTTCTAGAGGCCCAGATGGGGCATGGGGACAAGGCCCTCCCTGAGGACGCAGCATAGCTGAAGTTACCTCGGAAATCGCAGGCCCCTCCTGCCACCCCAGGTGGTCATTCGAAGGCCTAGGATCAAGAGCCCACAGTGGCTGCCCCTCCCCTTCACCCCAAGAGCTGGGCCGGGATCCAAACTGTCATGTGCAACCGACCAGGTGGTTCTCTCACCCTGCGCTGTGATGACAAGGAGCAAAGGCTTAGACTGAATTTGAGCCCCACAGACTGCCAAAGTGAGACCCAGGCCAGCCCTTCAGTCTGCACTGGGGCGCGAGGAGAAAGGCCACAGGCCCTGGTCACAGCAGTTTGCGGCAGACAAGAGAAGGCTGCTGCAACCTTGGGGCCCCAAACTTCAGAACCCCTGAGGTCAGGCAAATTACAGAAATGAGAAGAGGAGGTCAGCGGGCTGCGGTGGGCTGGAGTGGGGCGCTAAGCTGCAGGAAGGAGGTCCAGGCAGCTGGGTGGGGAGCAGTAACTCAGAGAGCCGGAAATCAGATTAAGAAAAGTCTCCCCGCTCTAAATGTTGGCAATGAACTCTATCTGGAAACCTCCTTCTGTGGCCCAGGACATAGCTTCTGGTGAGTCATCCCAGAGACCTCAGTGGGGGGCTGCGAGGTGGATGCAGCCTCACCCCTCACTGAGATCCACCTGAGAAGGCAGCTGAGGGGCGCAGTTGGGCGAACCCCCGCTCCGGTTTTCCAGACTGGCTTCAAGTCCAGGATAGGGCTGTCCCTCCACCTTTCAGGAGACCCCGCTACCCTCTGCTGTCTGTGGGACCCCAGCTTTTGGCTCCCCCCACACTTGGTGAAACACGGCTGGAGCCAGACCCAAGTGTGGTTGACTCCCCCTCTTGAATCTTGACAGCCTAGGACAGCCATTGACACGACCGAGTCTCCTCTACCAGGCAAGGATAAAGGAGGTCGTGATTTTCTAGACATGATTGCTAAGCACAGGGCTCCATTTAAAATTAAAGGGGCCAATTTTAATTTAAAGCTAATGTAGAGGAAAACATCAATAATAATACAAAAAGAGGAAAGAGACTGATATGTGGGAGCAGCGACACTTTCTAAAGCAAGAAGCTCAGGCCAGAAATCAGAGACTGGGGAAGCTGTGCCTGCCAGAGGCCCAACAGCCGGTAGGACAGGATGGCCCTGGGCCAGGAGGGGACAGGCAGCTAATCCCACCTGGCGCCAGCTACTCCCCCAACAGGGAGGGGCCGCCCACTGAGGGGAGAGGCCAGCTGACCGGGTCCTCACTCACCAATCCAGGCAGCACCTCGAACAGCGTCTGTTCCACCACTGCGAAGAGCGGTGCAGGCAGCAGCCTGGGCAGAGAGAAACACAGTCCGTGGCTGCCCGCAGGCCACAGAGGATGGCGAGGCAGAATGGGCACTGGAGGCTCTGCGTTTCCTCTGTCTCCTCTCTCAGTTGGGGTTGGCTGGAGCTTGGGGATCTGGTTTAATCCATGGTCCTACCTAAGACTCCCCCCACCACACACACCGGGTGGCTTTAGTTTCCCCATCTGGGCGGTGCCCATCTTGTACTGGTGCCCAGGGAGGATGGGAATGGATACAAATCTGGTAGGCAACCTGTGCCTCACAAGTGTCTGTCTCCTTTTCTCCAACATCTGGGCCTACCTTCACCCAGCTCAGCGTGGGGTTCCATAAGTATTTGTTGAATGAAGGAGCGAGTGAGGAAGTGGCCTGAGGATAGTCCCAGTGGGTGGGCTCAGGCCTGTTTGGAACCTACAGAGGTACAGGATCATACCCCACAGAGCCACTACCAGGTGACAACCTCTTCCTGGACTCCCAGAGGAGCAGGATGGAGCCACTGGAACTTAAGGAGCCCAAAGTCCCCCTTCGGAAGACTCTTCTGAAGACAGGAGTCCCCACAGGGTCCCTCAGCTCCAGGGAGCTGACGCAGCTGTCTGGGACCCAGCGCTGCTCAAGCTGCGGGCCAGTATGGAGAGCTAGGGGCAGCTTGGACCTAGACAGAGACCAGCCCGTCTCACTCCCTGCTGTGAGGTCTGTGACCTTGAGCGAGCCCCTTACCCTTTCTGAGTGACATTCAACACAAGTGTAGTAAGGGCCACCATATCCTGAACGGCCCCACAGGAAGAAACAGATACATGTGTTTTCTGGATCATCAAGTCCAGCCCCTCCTTACACAAAAAGGGGATACTGAGGCCAGGTAGGGAGAGGACCACTCTAGCGTCACACAGACAGGGTTCTGAAGTGCTAATGGCAGAGACATTCCAGCAGATGGAGTCGGGAGCCCAGATCACCCCAGGCTGGTTCCATCTGTGAGAGGGCCAGGGAGAAGCAGGTCCCCCAGGAGCCCGGGCTGCGCAATGCCTACTGGTACAACGCGGGCGGGGCCAGAGTCCCTGTCCCAGATGGGCCTGGGGCTGGTCTGGGTCTGGTCTGTGGGTCTGTGCAAGTGGAGTGCGTCGGAGGTGGACAGGCCCCGCCCAGC